TAGGCTGTTTTATAAAAAATTATCCGTTAGCTTATATTTTCTGGTTCCAGCAAGTTAAACCACAATATTTTAGCTCCATAACAAGAAATATAAAGAACTAAATTAAAATGACTCAAAGTGGGAACGAAAAATAACTAATTTTAACTTAAAAGACGTAAAACGGATGCGTTATGTGTTAATTTCTCAACACATATCAATGGGTGAATTCATTAATGTGTGGAGTTCAATGGAATTTGAATGATTCCATCAATTTCAAGAAATGAAATCAAATAAAGGAATTTGTCATTCCACTTTCATCAAATTCCTTCAAAATCCGTGAACTAAACAACTCCTTAAGGTCTTGTTCTGCTAGTTTAATCACCAATAGGAAGCATAAATATTTTTGATCGGTCTTGCTACTGATTTAGTCAGTTCGTTTGATGTTGGTTTTCTCTTTCATTATGTGTATGCAAACAAAATCATGGATGATAACGATGATAAAATTCAAGGAAGAAAATAACATATTAGGCCCTAGCCCATTGTTGAAGATGTTCCAGAATGCTAACGAGATTGGTGTTCTACTGGCAATTATGTTGATTTAAGATTCATTTTTTCTTGCTGAAAATGATGCAAAAACTTGTCAAAATATGTCTTGTTTGGGTTATGTCAACAATGATGTTTTTTTTTAACAACGGTTGATGTTGAAGGATTTTACATAAATGTAGCCATGGTTATTGGCTATATGCATAATGAATGCTTAGATATATACATATAGAGAGAGATGAGTTACGTTACAAACCGTCCAATTCATGAAAATTATGCAAACCATTTTCGATCAATAGGAAAATTCCGTTTTTTTTCTTTAATTTTAATAAGTAAAGGTATAATAGTCATTTGATTGTATATTGGTTAATATTGGAAGGTAATAATTACTCTTAATTATGGAAACGTAATAATAAAAACATTTAATATAGAAGGTGGTAAATCAATTTTTCTTAATATAATTTTTTACCATTAATAGTTTTTATTATTTTATTAAATTATACTTACTAAAATATGAATTGTAAAAACACTACAATATGAAATCTGATTTCATTTCATTGAAAATATATACGTAGTTTGAATAATGAAACGAATGTGATGGTCAATAGTGACCATGAACACAATTTAACTGATGAATTTAATTTATTAATGTTTCGAAACATTTTATGCATAAAAAAGTTTCACTTACGAAAATAAGGTATTCAGTTTTCAAAAAGTTTCATTCAATTTTCAAAAATGTTTCATTATTTATATATTTTATCGTTTATTAGGATATCCCTTGTTTTAAATTAGTTTGATTAGAAATTACTAAGAGTCCAATCCTACTTCAATAATGTTAATGAAATAGTTTCATATATCGTTTACTACTACATGTCAAATGGTCCATCTTCCATTGTAGGTGATAAGGAGTCACGCGAGTTCATAACATAAACGATGAAACAGTTTCATTTAATCTTGACCATTTATTTTTATTTTCTTTTTTATTTCCTAATATAAACACATTTAATCTTGACCATTGATTAAAAAAAATTGATGGATAATATTGGTTTGTAAGGTTTTCACAAACGAGAGTGGTTTGCAATTGATCGATCCTCTCTCTCTCTCTATATATATATATGACAACATTTTTGGGCCTGAATTTAACCATGATTTAGGAATGATATTTATTCCGATAGTCTCTCATGATGTCTATTGTTAATATGGTATCAAAGCCCAAAAAAGTTTATTAATCGGTCTTCCAATTGCAATTTTTTGTGAAGTATAAGTATAAAACAAGTAGTTTACATAACAGATAAAGAAAAAACTCGCCGCTTAGAATCGCTAATTAAACCAAAAAGTAGACCAACTTGAATCAATACGAAACTGATTTGGTCTCAAACCGAACCAAAATAAGAGTAACTTGCTCGGTTTAAGGTTTCAACTACTTGTGGAATTGAGTTCTAAAATTATAAACCTGACTGCATAATTTATTTCGAACCGATATTTATGGATCTAACTGAAAAAAAAAATAAAAAGAAATATGTCTTTTCCCCCAAGATTCTCTCATATTTATTGATGAGGCCATCACAAGTTCACCCTTCACTCAATCGTCCTCTTTCTATTTTCAATCTCATCATGTTCCCAGCATCCCTCCCCTCTCCCTCTATGCATCATCTCCTCAAAATCCCCCAATTTCAATCTTTTCATGTTATTCTCAAATCCTTTTCGTTTTGTTTCAAGAACAATCCTATATCTAATTTTATGATCATTTTTCAAGATTTTGTGGGATCGATCGGCTGGATTCAAGAAACGGGTTGTATGCATTGTTTCGATATAAAAAATCGAAAGAAAGATTGATCAAAGATGGATTCGAACGAGACAACGCCAAAAGATCCGCGATGCACACAAGTAACCGTGATGAAAGTGGCAAATATCGCGGTGAATATGTTGGTTTTCATCGTGACGTTAGCTTTGTGCAACATCTTGCACATGCTATTACGCCCTTACTCGCAACCTCGACTCATTTCAGAAGCCATTGTAATCATCCTTTTGTAGATTTTAAGATGGATTTCATGGTTTTGATCGGTTAAAGAAAATAAAATAAAATAATCGTTTCTTTTGATGCTTGCAGGTAGGGTTCTTTTTGAGCAATCTACCATTTATACGTAACAACTTCGACGACGAAGCTAATACGACGCTTGGTTATGTAGCGGAGTTCGGAATGATTTGCCATATGTTCGTGGTCGGCCTTGAAACGGATCCGAACATATTTGTTCGACTACCGGTTCGTGAGGCGAAGGTGGCATGTACTGGGCTGCTAATAACTTTTTTGATAGCGGTTTTCGTGACCCCAATGTTACAGCTGACTAACGAGCCAAGTATCAAGTTTGATGTCTCCATCTCGATCATCTTATCAGGAACCGCCTCCCCCCTCCTCACCCGTCTCATTGCCGATCACAAGATCGGGAAATCCGATATCGGCCGATTCTTGATTGCCACTGGTCTATTATCCGATCTCATTTCCACCCTTCTAATAACCTTAGGGTACATCATTTTCGACCCGTTGGATGGTTTCGCGACCCGAAAAGTGGAAAATATTCTTCTCATGGTTGCGGTTCTCGTGGTTCAGACAATTTTCGCGGCTAAATTCGTACCGTTTCTCATGGCGTGGGTCGATAGTCATAACCCGCAAGGGAAATTAATGAAGGGTTCGCACTTGATCGTTTCGCTAGCAAGTATCGTGCTCGTTTGTAGTCTTGCACCATGGATAACACGATTTAATATGATGCTAAGCTCATTTTTAGCTGGCGTTGTTATGCCTCGTGAAGGAAGGATCCCGAAGATGCTGATCGGAAAAGTCAAGTACTTCTTCGGGATCCTGTTCTTTCCGGCATTCATGTTTTGGGTCGGATTCCAGGTAGAATTCTCGGAATTCGAAGGTCGTAGATTGATCACATGGGCTAGCATATTTTTCCTATTCCTGATCATCGTCGCCGGAAAAGTTTTCGGGAGTGTGATCTCTGGCGTCTTGTTAGGATTTCATTGGCAGGATTCCGTCGCGATTGGATTGCTTCTAAGCATCAAGGGTCACTTCCATATCTTCATGGTTCTCTTAGCCGAGGAGGTAAACATATCAATATCAGTAGGTTATCGGTCAAAATAAGTATAAAATAAAAATAAAAAAGAATTTTTTTTATCAAACTATATATTTTAGAGGGCGTTTGGGATTGTTTATTTGAAACGTCTTATGTTTTTCTACAAAAGTGTTTATTAACTTATTATAAGTTAGAATGATTTAACTTCTTCAAAAACTTCTTATTACTGTAAGTTGTTTATCCAAACACGTAAAAGTGTTTATTACCGGTGTCACACCGAAATAAATCAATAAGTTGTTTTCATAAGCAATTCCAAACACCCCTTAATGTGGATTAAAATGATTTTGATTTTATATTTCATATCCCGTTGGCAGAGAAATATAATTAGTCGGTCAAACACCGTTGTCATGGTCCTCGTTTGCTTCCTCACCTTCATCCATGCCCCGATGGTGATGAAGAGCATCATCGAGCGTGCACGAAAGCAATCGCCGACACAACAAATGGCGCTCCAATGGCTCAGTCCGTCAAATGAGCTTCGAATCGTACTATGTGTCCATGGTCCGGAAAGCATTCAATCCGCCATTAATTTCATGGAGATCTCCCAAGGGCTACCGGAATCGCGGATGACGGTTTATGTTAACGATATGATTGAACTCACGGAGAATATAGCATCGACATTGGCTCAAGGAGAAGGAGTGGACGCGATGACCATAACGGATCCCGGGATTATAGAGATGAGAGAAAACATCACCAACACGATCCAGGGTTACGTAAACGAGCAATGTGAAGGGATCGAAGTACGACGAATGCTTACGCTGTGTCCTCTCACCAGTATGCATCACGACATCTGCACACTGGCGGAGGATTTGTTGGTTTCGTTGATCATCCTCCCGTTCCACAAGAATCAACAACCGAACGGGAAGGTCGAAACCAACCATTTGGGGTTTCGAAGTGTCAACAGAAAGGTAATACCCAAAATGGAAAAAAGAACGTCAAAATTTCTAAAAAATATTACATTCAAATTCAAGTGCAATATATTTCTTTTTAAAAATATTTTTATTTTTTTTATTTTAGAGATTTGTACTTTATCTACTCATCCGATCTAGAGAATGACAATAACAACATAAAAACGTTTTTCTCGACACCAGGTTCTACGGCACGCACCGTGTTCGGTTGGAGTCTTGGTCGACCGCGGTCTCGGATCCACCCAATTATCGAGAGCAACCAAATGCATCAATGCAGCTATCATTTTCATTGCAGGCAAAGATGATCGTGAAGCACTTGCGTACGCCGGCCGAGTGGCTCGACACCCGTCGGTCAAACTCACCGTCATACGATTCCTATTAGACACCAACGGAAACAACGTGTCGTCAAGGATCACGCGGGCCCGTGCCAACACCGCGGAATTTGAGGCAGAGATGAAGCAAGACGACGAGTATTTTGCAGATTTTTATGATCGACACGTAGCCACGGGACATGTTGCATACATGGAGAAATATCTTTCGAATTCCGGGCAGACTTATTCGACGATCAAGTCATTGGAAGGACAATATAGTTTATTTATCGTGGGTCGAGGAGGAAGGGTTAACTCGACGTTAACGGCTGGGATGAACGATTGGGAGGCATGCCCAGAGTTGGGTCCAATCGGGGATATTCTTTCGGCTTCGGATTTCTCAGCCACGGCTTCGGTGTTGATCATCCAACAACATAAACTTAGAGGGAAGCTTCAGGGTCTACATGAAGAGTTCTCTATCATGTAAAATTGTTAGTAAAAACACTTAATCGGTATAGTTATAAAATAGAAATGACGAATGCAAGAATGAGTGTGAATGTTCATTGAAACTAGATCAAAATAGTAGCTGATATACTATTTGGGTAGAAGACAGTTCTGTGTATATCTGATCATTTTAGATTCTATTTTTGAATGACATACACTGAGTTTGTTTGGTTTGGAACAGAATATTCAATTGAACCTATTCAAACCACGAACAGGTGAATTGTTGACTTAGACCGTTTTCAACCGAACCATGTAGCAAAGCAAAAGGTTGTGTTTTTAACTTTGATCGAATGGTGTAACAAAAAAGATATTCTTGTTAATGGTTAATGTATCACTATTCATTGAAGTAGGTTTGTTTGTGGTGTTTTATTTTGTAGTGTTACTTTTTTCGTTATTTTTCTCTAACATTTTTAGTGTAGGGTTGAAATAAAAACTATAAAATAACGTTAATTAATAATTGTTTTATTTTTTTTTATTGATGTCATAGTTGTAGTACAGGGAAGAGATACAAACATTGCGATATATAGTGATTTTGTTAAACGTGCCTACTTCACCTTCTTTGAGCTACATAATCCACTAACCGAAACTCTTTATCGTAGAGTTTAAACCTTGGTATAACGATAATTACAAGATGTTATTCCTTTGCTCAATAAGTTTTTTTTTTGTTTTGTTTTTTCGATCATTTAAAAAAGTTATAAGTTAGATGTTTGGATAAAAAAGATCAATCTAAAAATTTATATGAAACCATTTTAATTTGGTTTCAAATATGATATTGGTGTTTTTCTATTAACCTGAATATTCAACTTATTATGCGAGCCGACTAATCCCATGACGACTACCTACAAATTTGAACCTCCGTGGCCACAAGGGGATTACGTACTTCTCGTTAAATTTAAACCTGTGACCTCCAGACACTTTTGACCTTTGGATATCAAGCTTAAACCAATCGTGATTCTAAAATATTTGAAAAGTTTGCTTCGGAACCCTAAATTAAATATTTTAAAAGTTTGTTCCCGAAAATAAAATTTTTGCAATATCCTCGGTTGAAATTAATATACGGTAAGAAGCATTTATATTTAATTCAACGAAAAAACATCTGTTATTGTTATTTAACAGCTCGGTAATAAAACAGTCGACTGTTAAGAGAATGATATTGAATTAAGAGTTGACCGGTTCAATACGTAATTTTATAAAAAAAACCTTAGAAGTGGTTGTATTTCATAGATATATTTATGATTTATGGTTAAAGGGGTCTTATTTTTGGCCTTTTAAAACTTCAATATAAAATCTGAAAAGCTTTATATATCATCAAAAATAAAAATCCTCAATTTGAATCGGAGCATGGCCTTTCACGTCGCCTGCCCAATTACATGGTTATCTGTTTTTCACCATCAAATTCCATATGTATTTATATGTATTTCCCGCCTTCTATAACCGTTTCTTTTTGTTTGATTGCAGTCGTCGAATTTGCTACTGTTCGCTAGGGTTTCCTAAGGAGCTACAGAACGATAAGGGGAAAAATGGGTTCTTGGAGGAAATTGCTAGGCTCAAGGAGTTTTTGGATGATCCGTGGTTGATTAAAAATGATAAGAAGACGGTACAGGTTCTTGTTCCGAAGGTAGCTGTTGCGCCTCCTCCGCCACAGGTGACTGTGACGCCTAATGTTGCTGTTGTTGATGGAAATGCTGCGGAGGAGATGTTGTCGGCACAGAATAAGAGGGCAGCGCTGCAGCGGAAGGCGGCTGCAGCATCACTGGTGGCGGAGGATTATGCTAGGCGATTTGAATCTGGGGAAACGGTGGTAAGATTTTTAGTTTTAGTTCGGAGTTTAGGTCAGTCGAGATGCGTAGTGAGTATCTGTTACAAAATGTGGTGGAATTGAGTGAAATAAAACGTTCGTTTTCTCTACGCTTGGATTGTTTTTTGGTGAAAGCATAAGGGTATGTTTAAGACATAAGTATGTTGCATACTGTCACAAGCAATGCAACAAGATTTAGGTCAATATCACATAGCTATTGGCAAATAAACTTGAAATGAAATGGCTTTGGTTCTAGCCCATAAAAACTGACGTCATAATCATGGGATGCCTTTCGTTGATTGGTAACTGATAATGCCAAATGTCTTTAGTGAAGTAAAGCCATGACTGGAGTTGATGAACACTATAAAGGTGCTTTGAAGTTAAAAGTTGGCTTACCTGGTTTTGTTGGGGCATTATTATTTGGGCCTTTATAAGAAACCTTTCCTCCACCCATCCCCTCTTTCAGACAAAATGACAATGAAGTTTTCTGGCTTATAGTTTCTTTGACTTCTAACCCTTAATAGATGATTAGATGAACATTTGACCAGTTTGCTTTTTCTCACCTTTCTTTACTCAAGTCATGTTCCTGATGTATATTACATTAATTAGTGTAATTCCAATAACCAGGACTGGTGTACTTGTAATCCATTCAAACATTCACTAAATATGATAATGGAAGAAATTTAATCCATGCTTCTCATTACTTCTGGACCTCGTCTTTCTTGGCATTCCTGTGGACCCCAAAGGTCAATACTTTGTGTTTCAGGTTGGTTCACTTATTTTTCACTTTGGGATGTTATTGGTAATTTGTTATGTTTTATGCAGGACGCCACTAAAGATCTTGCTGGAGAAGAGCAGGCCCTCTCCAATGCGAAAGTAATGTGCCGTCTATGCTTTTCCGGAGAAAATGAAAGAAGTGAGAAAACAAAGAAGATGCTATCATGCAGAAGTTGTAGCAAGAAGTATCACAGGAGCTGTTTGAAAGCCTGGGCCCATGATAGAGGTTCGACTTCTTGTCGCTAATACATATCATATTGCTTATATCTTGCTCTTGATGACTGAACTCTCGATTGCAGATCTATTTCACTGGAGTTCCTGGAGCTGTCCTTCATGTCGAATATGTGAGGTAATTTGATGTGCCAATTCTTTATTAAACATGCAATAATCTTCACGGTGCATTAAGGAATTTGTTTTCTATGTTATGCAAGACAAACATATATTGGATCAACCAAGCTTGTATATGTGGAGCAATAAATAACACTATAAGGTTTCTCTTTATTACCTGAAAAATTAGGCCTTGGTTTACTAAATTTGATGTCAACCAGACTTAACAATTTTTGAAAGGTTAATCATATTCCTGTAGCTCAGATCATTAGCACAACTGCTTCTGTTCTGTTGTAAGATGTGTAATAGATGCGCCTGTCGGTTTAAATTTTTTAAATCTTACATGACATATAAGTTAAGAGATCACAGTGTGATGCTTTTGGTTTAAAGAAACACAAGAGAGGGTGGTTATTGCAATTTGAAACCATGGGACTGAACATTTGTCAGTTATGGGCAACTATTTCATATGCAAACCGATTGAAGTTCTAACACTAATGATATTTTACTGATCCACAGTTTGGGAAAACAATTGATAACTGAATACACAAGCCTAGGTAAAGATAAGTGCAATTTGAAACCATGATATTGAACATTTTGTTAGTTATGGGTAACTATTCATATGTAAACTAACTAAGTTTTAACAATATGATACTTAAATATTCCACATATGATTTGGAAAAAAACGCTGATAATTAAAATACACAAGGTGAGAAACATTTTATGTATATGATGTGTATGTATGTGTGTTTGTGACATGGTGTTAACTCTGGGGTTTGGGTTTGTTTTGCTTGTGTTTTTTGGCTTCTTTCTTTTGAATGTTTGTAATTTCCCCATGTTTTTCTTCTTTTTTATTCTATAATTCAGTTAGCATTCACTTACAGAGCGGCCACACTAGTTTAGTCGCGGTCAGGATACACATACTTCCATCCTGCTAAAGTAGTTTCATGGAGGCTCTCATTGGTTAAGTTGAAATCAAAATAATAGAAACGATAATCTGAGTACAATCTAAAACTGTACAAAATGGAATGGTAAAAAAGGATTTAAAGCTGTACGAAAACATTATGAAACGGCATGAAACGGTACAAGATGATATTAAGCAATACAAAAGGTATGTAATGTTACAAGACATTGCACAAATTTGTATACATATGAAACGGTACGACAAAATACAAATGATACGATGCAAAAGAAATGATATATAACAGCATAAGACATTACATCATGATTTTTGGTTATGTGCGACTCAGCTATTCATTTCTTGCAGTCCCTGATTTAGATGGGAAAATTTTGAATTTCCTCCTGTTTAGACATGCTAATCAAAACAGGCCGTATTTACTCTCGTTTCTAACCCTTGTCAAAAAACAAAAAAGTACACAGCAAGACGTCATTTTCTATTAAATTATGTATCATCTTGTCTATTCTGCATTACGTATTTCGCTCATTGGAAAAGATGGAAACCTAATTTAAATTTGATGCTTATGATGATGACTTAGAATTGGTGGTAAGATAAACGTTCCCTGATTCATAAAATGGCATCATTGCTTTCATATGAGTGGGGTATTAATTTTGTGGCAGCCAAGATAGGAGTTGTTATAAGGTTCAATCCTCACCTCTAAGTGGGGACATATTAGGTTTGCAGCCTTTTCAGTTTGTGCTTTTAAACCAAATCTAGAGTATGATTGCGCTGTGTCAGTGGTGTCAAGAGCAACTGATGTGGTAGCTATCTATAATGTATAAGTTATGCATAATGTTTCTGTTACTTTTTGTCCAGATGGCAACTATGCGGTAGGAAACCTTATAGTTATGTATATATATTTTAAGCTATGAATTCTAGGCTAAGTATTGTAGTTGATGTGTTGTGTGTTATAATTTTTAAAACTAGGCATCAAGTATTATTGTGTTCACATTTGTTGAGTGTTGGTATATTTAGTGGTATTTAATATCAAACATTTTGTGTTTGAGGGTTAACTGTCGTTATATTTGTGTTTACTTGTATTATATAAATTCACACTTATAAATAGCATATAGAGAATATCTTGTCATCATATAGATGACAGGGTGGCCGCCCATGGCATCCTGACAATTGGTTACTTACCCAAACGATTGCAATCGTTATTATTGGCAAAACCGGACTGATTACCATGAAGAATCGAAGAAAAACTAGATGGGAATTTGAGAGCCCATTTCTCTCTTATATGATCAAAAGATCACATAAAAACTGAATGAAAATCCCCTACCAAAACCACGCACCTGACATATACCATTCTTCTTGCCTTCTCTATTATATTTCCAAAAGTACCCCCTCGACTTTACTCTTTATTTACTCCCCTCCCCCCCCAATTACTCACCTTGTCCTCAAGGTGGAATGTTGGAAACTGCTTACACATATCCGGGTACGACTCCCATGTGTCTTCAAACTCTGGCAATCCCCGCCAACCAAGAAGGACTTCGATGATTGATGTACTTATTGGATCCGTCGGGACTGACGGGGTATGTTGCTACCATTTTGAAAGGATTAAGAAGCACCGAAGTAATGTCTAAACCCAAGGGGAGTGAAGTCGTAACAAGGTAGCCATACTGGAAGGTGCGGCTGGATCACCTCCTTTTCAGTTCATTATTGTTACGATATCGAATACCTTTCAGAGTTTCTGGTTCTATTGGCAGCTCCCAATTATCTTTAAGTGCTGCGGGGAGAGGTGTATGTGTTCCATGATTGCCAACAACTTCTTTCAGTTGAGGGCCATTGGTGGAAATCCCCCAATGGCTTTAAGTTGTTGTAAGGTTTTAAGGACCCCGTATGACCCCCAATGGCTCCAGCATGGAATTCCATAAGTAACTGGTAACGATAGGAGATTTACTTGGGATTACGAGCTTACCATGCTGGAGTAACAAATTGTCTCGCAACTAAAATGGGCCTGGGGCAGCCGGACCAAGTTGTAAAGCATCAATGCGGGCTTTACACTTAGGTCTTGGTTTACTTGTTTACTCAGTTGAGTGATGTCACATCGAGAAATCAAACCAAATCAGTTTGATTAGTCATTTCTGATACTCTGTAGCCACCCCCTCTGTTCTAGTAAGTATTTAAGAGTACGTTGATCTGTCTTAACAATGAAGTGCCTTCCCAAAAGATAATGTTTCCACTTTTTGACAGCCAACACGAGTTACACGATAGCCATCAATTCGCACTCATAGACGGACTTAAACTTTCGTCCAGTTGGTAAAGCTTGACTGAAGTAAGCTATTGGTCTTTGAAATTGCATCAAAATAGCCCCCACTCCCGTACCAGAAGTATTCGTTTCTACAATGAATTCTTTATTGAAATCCGGTAAGGCTAACACCGGCAAGCCCATCATAGCAGCCTTTAACTGTTGAAAAGTTGCTTCGGACTCCCCATTCCATTCAAAACTGTTCTTTTTTAATAGTTGGGTCAAAGGAAAAGCTATTCCTCCATAACCCTTCACAAATTGTCGGTAGTATCCCGTAAGTCCTAAAAACCCACGAAGTTCTATAATGGTTCGTGGAGAGGGCCACTCCTTATTTGCTTGCACCTTACGGACTTCTGCCTCCACTCCTTTATGAGAGATCACGTGCCCCAAGTATTTGACCCGACACTTTTTACGATTTGCCACCAAGTGATTATCGTGAAGAATTTGAAGTGCTAATGACAAGTGATAGGCATGGTCTTCCGCACTATGGCTGTAAATGAGTACATCATCAAAAAAGATGAGAATGAATTTACGAAGATGAACTCGAAACAACTCGTTCATAAGAGCTTGAAACGTGGCCGGCGCATTGGTGAGGCCAAAGGGAATTGCAACGAACTCATAATGTCCCTCATGTATTCGGAATGCCCTCTTCTCAATGTCTCCCTCCTTCATTCTAATCTGATGATAACCAGATTTGAGATCAAGCTTTGAAAAAATCTGCGCACTGTTTAATTCATCAATCAATTCCTCTACAAGTGGGATAGGGAATTTGTTAGCAAGCGTAGCATGATTTAGTGCGCGATAATCCACACAGAATCTCCAACTCCCATCCTTTTTCTTAACCAACAGCACCGGACTCGCGTACGGACTCTCACTAGGCCGAACGATTTGAGCAACAAGCATTTCTTGTGCTAACTTTTGATCTCATTTTTTTGTTCATGCGAATAATGATAGGGTCTGGTACTTATAGGAACGGTTTTTGGAACGAGGGGAATGGTGTGATCATGGCGTCGCTGTGGGGTTAAGCTGTTGAATGACTCGAACACGTCGGAGTATTGCTCAATAACCTCCTGGAACATCGAGTTCGATTCTGACTCTTGAAGGACAACCTCTTCTTGTAATGAATAAAGATCCACCAGGGCCTATTATGTGGAATGCCACATTTTAAAGAGAGATTTTAAAGAAATTGCAATCTTTTGTAAACCAGGTTCCCCTTTGATGACAACTTTAAACCCCTCAATTTTGAACTTCATTTGCAATGCTTTCCAGTTGACTTTCATGTCACCTAAAGTTTCAAGCCACCGTATTCCAAGTATGACATCGGTGCTTCCCAATTCTAGAGGCAAGAATTCTGTATTAATTCTTAAATTGGTAGTCTCAGTTCCACCCTTTTACAACAGCCATTGCCTTTTACGACTTGACCGGTACCCACCTTTACCCCGAAACTAGGAGCCTCTTCTATTGGTAATTGTAATCGAGTAACAAATCCGTGGAGATAAAGTTAGGGGTTGCCCCACAATCAATAAGAACGATCACGACTTCTCCATTTATATGACCTTGAATTTTCATAGTCCTCGGTGATGATAAACCCACCACAGAGTTTAGTGACAGCTCAATTGGTGGAATCACAGTATCTTGACAGCCCTCAATTTCATTTTGGTTAAGTTCGCCATCATGTTCACTAGTTTCTGTAGGATCATCTTGGAGCAAGAGAATCTGTAATTCCTTGTTTTTAGACTTGTGACCCACTCGATACTTGTCATCACATCGAAAGCAAAGTCCCTTTGCTCGTTTGTCTTGAAGCTCTATCTCCGTTTATTTGCTGGTCACTCCAAATTCAGGCCATAACATAGATGTTGTACTAGTCCCCGTACTCTTCCTCAACAAGGATGGAGCACTAGTGACCGTGGTACTGTAAGTTCGAGTTGGACGGAGACTTGAAATGGTGAAATTATGGGAGGGTTTGTACGATACATTATTCTCTTTAATGATTCCAGTCAAACGAGAATTTCAATCCTCAACCAATTGGGCCATTTCCATGATTTGGGCTAATCCTTGAGGCCTCAACAGTATAACCTCAGCCTGTATGTTGGGCTTGAGTCCATTCATAAAATTACACTCTTAACACTCGATCTGGAAGATCTAATAGGGAAGACACTAAAATTTCGAAGGAATGACGAAATTCGTGAAGGTTACCTGTTTGTCGAAGCGCTAAAAGTTGTTCAAGGACGGAACCCCCGTCAGTGAGCCTGAACCAATTGATACTATGCAATTTCAGATCATCCCATAGCAAAATTGGACGGTGGCCATCAGCCCAGTGGAACGTTGCGAGAGCCTCACCCCCCATACATATACCCGCCGTGGTTACCTTCTCTTTATCATTAAAACGTTGAAATGCAAAATAGCATTCAGCTCTGAAAATCCACCCGTCTGGATCAGTCCCATTGAACATTGGTAACTCTACACGTCATAATCTCCAATTGGATGGAATAAATCCTTGAGTTGTTGGTTTCAGGGAACTAATTGTCTCTGGCGAAGAAACGGAAGTAAAATTAACATCACCTATTGGTTTCATAACCGGACTGCCACCAGATCCGGGTGATTGATACAAACCGCCAGATGTGCCTGCTGGAGATGAGACCTTCGGCCCTTGTTGTATCAATGTATCCAATTTCCCCTGAATGGCTTGAGTCCCTCGATCTAAATCATCGATCCTTTGGGTGTTCCCTGTCAAATCGGTGCGAATTGCCTGAACACTTTCTTCTAACGCGTCCAATCGATCGGCTTGAGATTTGGGAGGCATGGTTGATCGGAACCTGGCTCTGATACCAATTTGATAGACCCAAACAATTGCAATCTGTATTATTGGCAAAACCGGACTGATTACAATGAAGAATCAAAGAAAACTAGATGGGAATTCGAGAGCCCATTTCTCTTCTATACGATCAAAAGATCACACAAAAACTAAATGAAAATCCCCTACCAAAACCACGCACCTGCCGTATACCATTCTTTTTGCCTTCTTTATTATATTTCGAAAATTACCTCCTCGACTTTACTCTTTATTTATCTTTGGACCCCTCCTTTACTATACTTTCGTAATTGGAGGATTATTAGTTACCAACGGGATGCTGTGGCAACATGACAACTATCATTTTGATCAGTGCTTATCTTTATTGTGATAATCTAAATTAACTTCATGAATCACTTTTTGACGTAAGGCTGTACATATTAAATTATTTTGCAACCTAGGTATGCCGAAGAACTGGTGATCCAAACAAGCTTATGTTTTGCAAAAGGTGTGATGGTGCATATCACTGTTACTGTCAGCACCCTCCACACAAGGTAAAATTTCATTTGTGGTATGCCAATCATGATTAGGTACCATGATGTTTCAAATCTTTTGAACTTTTGCAGAATGTCAGCAGAGGACCTTATCTGTGCCCCAAGCATACAAAGTGCCACAGCTGTGAATCTACGGTCCCAGGGAATGGTTTAAGTCTCAGGTATTCATCATTTACACTCAATATAAAGTAATTGTTGAGGATTTCCTATATAAATGAGAGTTATGATCATTTGCCTTAATGCCTATTGTACACCTTGGAGATAGATTCTCTAAAATGAGGTTACATATTCAATGCTTGATATACCTAAATAAAAGCCTCTTCTATCTCCTCTCTTCTTTCTCTTGGTTTGTTTAATCTATTTGACAATTATGATGCCATTACAGACACAGTTTTTGCTCTGCTTATCAGCTTTTGTAAATTGAAGATAGTAGTTTCTTTTACGTTTTAGCATGATTGTTGCTCATACCAATGCAACATATTGAAGGTGGTTTCTAGGGTATACTTGCTGTGATGCTTGTGGAAGATTGTTTGTAAAGGAGAAGTATTGCCCTGTTTGTTTAAAGGTAAAGAAGGATGATAATTTGTTTATTGGTACTTCTATATTTTTGGAAGTTTGTGTTCTGGTTAGAAAATGTCTATTTTCCCTTTCCCTGTCTATTGCAACATACCTGCAATTCATTGACATAGATGAACTGATGTTGTGGTTGGTGTCAATAACTGCAGGTGTACAGAGACTCTGAATCCACACCCATGGTTTGTTGTGATATATGTCAACGCTGGGTGCATTGTCACTGTGATGGAATTAGGTTTGCTTTCGATCTTATTGTAATCTTTGGACTTGTAGCATTAGATTAGATCCATCAGTGTGCTCCCTCCTCCAAGGTAGAAAATGGTTAGATGTGGGAACCAAATAGCTCTCTCAAAGAGGCATTTGGAGTTCCATAATTTCAAATTTGTTTCTTATATTGTTGGACATCAGTTTCTTCCTCATTCTATCTGGAATATATATAATGCCATTTTCAGAATATATGATAGCCTAACAGACTTGCAATGGATAACTTCACAGAAATAGGGTTCTTCACAGAAATATTTGAATTGCTTTACATATTTAAACTTAAAGCTTGAATCAGTATAGATTTTTTTTTAATTTGTATATGCATATCAGCACATGGCACACTAAGTTGGTAATTTGAACGTACAAGATTGTTCATATAATTGATTGTTGTTGAATCAATTAAATTTTGAAACGATCTGCATACAAATGTACATAGAACAAACTGTTCATAAGGTGTATATGTTAAATGGATGTTGGAAAGATGAGAGGATTAAGAATAAATGATCAACATGGTGATGGAAGAGGAGGGAACTAATTGACCTATCTGATATGGAGAGAAGAATTTTGAATCAGAAGAAAGGAGACACACAAAGATTCATAATTTGTAGATGCAACTTCTTATAATCGTCTGAAAACTTTCTGCAGTGATGAAAAGTATTTGCAATATCAAGTGGATAATCACCTGCAGTACGTATGTGCCGCATGCCGTGGAGAATGCTACCAGGTATGAATAAAGATACGGCTATGAGAATCTGGTAAACTACTTATTAATTTGACTTTTTGAAATTTTCAGGTTAGGGATCAAGAAGATGCTGTCCAGGAGCTCTGGAGGAGGAGAGACAAAGCTGAGCAGGATCTAATTGCTAGCCTAAGGGCTGCTGCTGGATTGCCAACTCAAGAAGAAATATTTTCTATTTCACCTTATTCTGATGAAGAGGATGATGGACCTGCATTGAAGAAAGAGTATGGGCATTCACTGAAGTTTTCTCTCAAAGGGATAGTTGATAAATCCCCCAAGAAGAGCAAGGAATACGCGAAGAAGTCTGCAAACAAGAAGCATGGAAAGGAGAAGGGATTTCCTGCACCGATATTTGGTAGAGTTGAACAACGTATTGAAGGATACAGCGATGGTCAATCTATCGGATCCATCACGGGTGATAACAAGGATGAAGATGTGCAGTCCCATAGAAATGTAGAACCTGATAAGCTATCATTTCCTGTTACTGGCAGTTTGACTGACAGGATGTTGTCAGTTAACCAGGCTGATGTCCTGAAACACAAGCTTGCTAATGAGGTTCCAGCGAAAACAGAGCGTAGAACCTTCAGAGATAAAATGAAAGATTCTAGGTCACATCAACTGCCGACTGTGGATGACCCTGTGAAAGAGGCTGTCAAATCAAAGAACACTAAGGGACCAAAGTTGGTCATACATTTGGGTGCCAGAAATAAAAATGTAGCAAGTTCTCCAAGGTCTGATGCATCAAACTCTCTCCTGGAGCAAGTGTTGACCGCTCCCAATGGTATGTTCCTTTTGTAAACTCTGTTTTAAGCTCTAAAATTAGACGGAAAATTCCCGCAAAGCCTTAGTAGCTGGAGTTATGCTAAAAGCACACAAATGTTGCAGTAAAGAATGCGAAGGGAAAGGTTTCATTTGATTGATTTGATCATTTATGTCCATCTGGTGTACCACACAATCATAACAATCTGTTATGAACCCAATCGATTGAACAATAGAAATGGAAACCAAATGATAAGGACACTGTTAAATGCTTCAAGTAACAAGGAAAATGAAGAATAAACTAGCATTCGAGAGGCTAGGACTCTCCCATATAGAACTCACTAATTTTCTGCATGCCTCTACCATCTACAGCATCCCTAATTATAAACAGACTCTAGGGTAAAGAATACCAGAACTACTCCTTCTAGAACACATCCTATTAATGGGCTTGGTCTTGGTCAGTACATAACATTACCACGCCCCCAAAGAACCACCTTGTCCTCAAGGTGGGTAGAAAAAAAGGAGGAACCGCTGTTGCCCAGTGACCACAGCTCTCCAACCAACTGGCATTGAAATCAAACCCTTGCAATTCAACTTCCTGTCACCTCTTGTTTTCAAAACCAAAGTCGAAAACCAAGGGTTTTCTGCAAGTTCACTACTCATGTAATACTGCCAATTTATGGACTCCCACATACCCCTGGTTATGAGTGTTCTTAGCCTTTAAGTCCAGTCCCGCAACCGGAAACAATTCTAACAATTTTGTTTCATGTTTTGAGTAGTCTGCTGAACTCCACAACAGGACATCTTCCTCATCTTGAGCAGTCTTAACACCATTCAACTTGGCCACCAGCTTCACCTTAATCGCCATTGTGATGAACTCCATCAGACTGGACCAACCATTAAAGAAATTCTCACACGAGGTACTTAATGATTTTGAGGCAACCATAAACAAGGATCAACCCAATTAGCATAGTCACAACTTTGCTAACCTTGTTCAATTCCTTCATTGACGTGTTTTCTTCAATCTGCGACACCTGGACCAGGAAGTGCGCTTTTCTTGACTCAGTATTCTTTCTTGTCTCTATTATCCATCCAATCCAATTCTCCTTTACAACCTCGGTCTCCACAGATTACATCTTTTCCTTTGGATATTGATCTCCCAAGGGACCGATTTAGTAGTGTTAACATCACATTCCCTCGTTCCAATCAAGGAACCGAGACTGACGTGAGCTAATTATCTTGGGAACACTCATATGAGTAGAGACATGTCCCCGAACCTGGAACTTTACAAACTCCACATTGTCACCTAAAATTTTGTATGAATCTCGAATCGAATGCAATACATCCTGTTCATCTGGTGAGAGAGTATTCTGGTATTGATTTCCGTCCACCAAGGTCCCCGCCCCCTCATGAGATCAATCAGATCGGGTTTCTTCAGGTACATGGAAACATATGCATGTGAGTTTTTCACAAAAACGAGCTCCAAATCATAATCTTCTGCCAGTGATCTGAAGGCTTCAATTGGAATAATTCCCTCTTTTCTCCTCGTCGAACTTGGTATTATGAACCATTCACTCAGTGAACAACTATGAGGCATAAGAAATACCCGTCTGGCGGTTTTGGGTCCGGATGCTTACCAGATTCTTCCAATTCACCACTGTCGACGACCTGTTTCTCACGATTGTGTGTTCCCACTCTTCGTATCTCCATACTCGGCCTTGTAACTCCTTGAATCGTTCTCTTGCAGATCGAGGAATTGGCCTGTGAAAATGGAAATCGCCAATCCCAAAATAGGTCTAAGTTTGGTCGCAAACGGCCTTAGGCTGCCTGGGGCCTTCTCCTGAACTAATTGTGAGCTGAGCCGAATCTGGACCCAATTGAGTTTCTCCGTTCTAGTGCTAGGTGAATAATGGATCGATGAATCTGTTTCAATCATCTGATTCACCTCCCTTCTCTCAGTCGTATTGGGGATTGTGGACGAATCCTCTTGTGATCGAATCTGAGGCGGTGAGAAATAAGCATTAGTCGGTTCTGGTTCCAGATCTGGAAGGAACCCTAAATTTCCAGATTCTGGATGGTGGGTAGAATGACTTTTTTATGGATTTGAACCCTCCAGTGTGGAGTATAGAATCGGTTGTCCATTTTCTAAGAGTAGGCTCCCTGTTCTCTTCTATTGGTGAAACCTTTCTCTCTTTTCTTTTCAATTTCTTCTCCTTCATGGACGGTTGCTGCCATAATCACCATGCTTTCACGGTTGACATCAAAAACTTGGTGAAAAACAGCCTCCTCAATTCCATTTGATGTGATGACCTTGAGGCTATCATGGTTGAATTCAGCCTCCCCATTTGGGATGAAATCTCTCGATGTGATATCAGATGGTGGAGTGTGGTCTAGATTCCATGGTTTAGCATTGTAGGAACCTGATTGGGATCAAACGATACTTACCTCTTCACTAATCATCTCCTTAAATTTCTGATTGAGCACCATCATATGGTCTTGAAACTGCTGCTTATGTCTGCAACAATGGAATGGATATCGGTCACCTCCTTCTTCCTGGGTTCATTCTTCTGCAGAATCATATCACAGGCCATGGCTTCAAACACACAATACGACCACTGCACTTCCCTTGCCATGGACTCGGAACTGCTCTGATACCAATTGTTATGAACCCAATCGATTGAACAATTGAAATGGAAACCAAATGATAAGGATATTGTTAAATGCTTCAAGTAACAAGGAAAACGAAAAACAAACTAGCATTCGAGAGGCTAGGACTCTCCCATATAGAAATCACTAATTATCTGCATGCCTCTACCATCCCTATTTATAAACAGACTCCAGGGTAAAGAATAGCAGAACTACCCCTTCTAGAGCATATCCTATTAATGGGTTTGGGCTTGGGTCATAACACAAACTTCTGTAAGTTATCGGCTCTTAAAGCTTCCAATAATTTATTGAAGCAGGGAAGTGCAAGCTTCCTTAAAAGAGGCTAAACTAAGTCCATACGTCATAAGTCTAATGCCAATCGATTAAAAATCTATAGGATAAAAACATCCCCCATCTCCCTGCAGCTGAGAACATAAATGTTGAATGCTCAAAGCTTCATTTAGGTAGGTTGTGAACGGCTGTTTTGTGTTTCCCAAGAACTGTTTAGCGGGTAAAGGACTTGTTGAAAGATTAATGTTTTTGGTCAGTTCAAAAAGTACTTGCCCAAGCTCAATGCACATGATATAGGCATCTTTGACCAAAAAATTTGTTTTGATGTACAAATTACAATTTCTACAGGAATTTTATGTCTTTTTATATGTTAGTTTTACTGTCAAGTTCCATAAAAGTAATTGGGCAGTGAAAGCTGTAACATGCTTGTATGCAAATGAAGACGTTCAAGACATGTATGGGATCTCAATGAAGTTTCAGCAATATGTGTCGTGTAAAGTTTATTGTGGGCTGCTCTATGCTAGGTTGAACTTTGCTTTTCTATCTGCGGAATCTAATATACAAGTAAGACAATCAAGTTCAGCGTCTGTTAGAATGGTGCAAACTGTTCTATGACTCAGGATTTTGGCAGTTTTTCTGTTATATGGGCACATGGGGTGTAAACATTCATAAGGTATGCTGGAATGAATAGGAGTACGGTACTCTATGCATTGTTTATGCAAACAATATCAAAATACTAATTAGGCTGGGAGCTCTTCTTGAAATGCATTGAACTGCTAGTAGTGTTTCTGGTTTCTTCATTTACTTGTTGCTTGAAAGATATTCAACTTACTTAGCTCCAAGTTAATACTAAATAATCTTTGGAATTTTAGATGTGTGCAGAACGAATTCAGGTTTAAGAGCCTAGGCATGCATTTCTCTGGTTATCAACTTATTGTTCTTTATATTAATTTAAACTTAAATCATTGTTGAAACTATTGTATCAAGGTATCGTCCATATTGTACTGACTTTGTTGTCTTGAAATTGCTATGTTGTCTAAATTTAGCAGTTGCTAAGAACTCTCAACTGTAATCATTTACACCTTTTGACTTATCAATGATATTTATTATTCCTTCTTTCCAAAAGTCGATTGAAATCTTATAAGCTTGATGTATTCATTCAACTACCTCAGCCTTCAACTTTCAGAACTCCCAGAATAATGTCGTCTGATGTTCAAGGATGGTGGGGGAAGACAATTAAGTGCCCCATTTCATCAACTTTGTCAAGCAGAAAAATTATTCATAGTCTGCTGCATATGTGCTTATATTATGTTTGTGTGCTTACAGATGGTGAAGACATGGTTCAACAAAGAGCGAATGAAAATCGTTTGGACTTGCATGACAGCACATCGAAGTTCTCTGATATAGATGGTATTGGTCACTACCCATCTTTCCTTGACTATATACAGAAAACCAAACCAAACACACCCAGTATGTCCCACTCGTAGATAGGGTTGAGGGGGAATGTATGCAGATTGACCTCTACCCCAAGAGTAGAGCGGCTATTTCCTTGGAGACCCCCAGCTTGCAAAAAGATATTGGTGAAAAACTGAGTGCATCAAAGAGTTTGTCACTTCTTTTCTGGAAAAAATTGAAAAGTAGGAGAATCTTGAGTTCAAAAGGTAAAGAAAGAAAGGAGAGCATTTGAAAAGAGGAAGCAAAACTCTGTAGAAACAGTAAACAGTGACAAACAGTAAATATAAAAAAAGGATCCACAAATAAGTAGAGAAAACATAGAAACAAATTGGAACAACACTACACACAACATACAGGTTTTAGTTGTTATATACTTCAAAAAAAACCATACAGGTTTTAGTTATTTTATAAGCATCTTTTAACTTGCCTATCGATTGCAGGACACAACATAGACCAGGCTGATGAAATAAAAGGACTGAAGTTGAGAGCAAAAGAGGGAAACATTATCTCAATGAAAAACCCGAACCCAAAACATTCTAATTCAGTTTCACATTCTTCCCAGAAGGAACTAAAGCCTTCATTCAAACTCAAATTCAAGAACCCGTATTCTGGTGATCAGAGTTCTTGGGCTCCTCCTGGGGAGGAAGATAAGAGTCTTGTCAAGGGTCAAAGGTCTAAGAGAAAGAGACCACCACCTTCTATGGATAAATCATCTTCCATTAAGGAAGATAAAGGGGCTGGACACTTGTATGAAGACAAAGATATGATGAGTGAGATAATGGATGCGAAGTGGATAATTCAGAAGTTGGGAAAACATGCAATTGGAAAGATGGTAGAAGTTCTTCAGCCATCCAACAATTCCTGGTGAGTTTCATTTTTTTTCCTAATTTCCTCCTTTCCTTAGTACTTCTAAATTTGGTACCTTATTGTAAGTAAAAAAGTATATGGTTTCGTTATCCCCACATTTGTCAAAGAACCCCTGCACGATGGAGTAAATGTTGGTTTATAATGCTACAACAAACCCATCCGATTTTTTTTCCAAATGATGGCATGTTTTTCTTGTACAACTACATAGTCATACATATACACTAATGGTGAGGTAGAGGGCTGATTGTTGAATAGTTATCAGAAAACTAATCATTGTCCTTTGTTAATTAGTCAACAAATAGTGCAACAAGGAACAAGCTTTTGTTTCTCTGTATAGTTACCCTTTTGCTCTCGTTCCTTGTCGCACTATTTGCCATAAATTGAGAATACTTATGTGAATTGTCTAAATCATAAGATTCGGCCAGTACTTCTAATAGAATTGTCAGTTGAAGAATGGAGATGATTACATTTGTCAAAATTGGCTATAGTTGTGATACCTTGTTGAAGCAAAGAATGACGTTTAGTACATTTGTATTTTTGGTGATAAACCCTAAAAAGTAGAGTATTGGACGGTCAAAAGTGTTGCTGTTGATTGACCCCTTGAATTATATGTATTGTTGAAGGCACAAGGGATCAGTAATCGAAGTCTCCGAAGACACGTCTACTGTAATGGTCAGTTCGGATGATGGGAAGGCCATAAATGTGGATCTTGGTAAACAAGGAATTCGTTTTGTTTCACAGAAGCATAGACAGTGAGTTTACCATTGTTTGTTCACATTACTTCATCCCTATTAATGCCCAGACCCTACTCCGCGGGCGATTTACTGGGTTTGATTTATTAGTTTTTCTTTAAATTAATTAGTGTTGGTTCACATATTTGGCATTCAGAACCTGAAAGAAGAAACAAAGGAATGGAGTTGGAGCATTTCGATTCCTCAACTCGTAGGTGAGTTTGTTAACTTGACAGCTTTGTTAGCTTGTTCGTAGTGTATGATCATGTCCAGTTTCCGGATGCATTTTGGTGCTCTATTTTTCTGTTGCTTAGTTATTGTCAGATATGTTATGTAGCAGCATGTTTAGTATGAGATTGGTTCCAACTGCTAGCATCTATCATGTATAGTTTACTTGCTGCGAATCGAGGTGCGTTTAGTACGTGGAACAGGATACTTGTCGTTCCACCTTTGGTGTGACATTAAGACCGTGACAAGACAGACGGATGAAAATAGGTGGAACAAAAATCCCTTACAAGATTGGTAAATTACTAAACTACTCATGTTAAATTTAAACTCTCGCATGTCCAATCCGCCTACTAAATTTTGCACCTCAAAATTAGGATACTTGTTTTTCTTTCTTTTCAACGTATACAAAATTTATATGATGCAAATACTTGCAATGACTTCCAGGAAGGCTAAGCTCTATTTGCCGACCTCGATATAGCTAGTAATATTGCTAGAGTTATTATCGTTTAAACATGTGAGATCTCAATCATTCATCTTTCTAAATTGTAAGCCAAAATATCCATCATCCCCATGCCATTTACCTCAAAAATATCCCAAAAAACCACTCTGGATGTGAAACATGTTCGAATCCAAGCGTTGCTAAAGTTTATGGCCATTGAAATTTACTTGTAATAACGCCATGTAATTTGTGGTTGCCCAAATGATTAATCGGTGTGTAAACCGGTCTAGATGCCTAGGGTTAAAAAAATATGTATATTTTCTTTATTGGACTGGTTTAAATACACAATTAACTTTCAAATCCAGTATAATGATATATTTGATGTAGGTTCCGTATGACCATCAATCTCTGACTATTATGTATTGGAACATGTTTAAATTTTTTAAGCAAATTGAGCATTTTCCACTTTCAAAATAGAAAAAATGCTAAACCATCATGATTCTTTCTATTATTTAGCTCTTTAATAAAGAAATTATGAAATCTAAATGGTTTATCTTTATGTGTTTACATATGATCCTTTGAATCTTTTTATCATTTATCTACTGTTATCCCAAAGATAATTAAAAAAAATGAGTTATAATAATTCAATTAGTGATGGATTCACAAACTTTTATTGTTAGAGGTATAATTATAGATGTCGAAAAAATTTCGAAACCGAATAATTCATTCAAACGAACACGGTTTTGGGTTTCCGTTAACCGAATAAAGATAACTTATTTGATTCGGTTTTTCAGGTTGATTTTTTGCTATTTTGGTTAAGCTGATATATCATCCTACTATTTACGTATTTTTCTATAAAGTTTAAATTTAAAACAAATGAACACATTACGTATTATAACAAATTTCGATCGGCTCATAGTGAATCAAATGACTAGAGGAACAAGTAAATCGAGATAACAAGTTGGAGCCTTTGCCACAATAAGAAATTTTACCAAAAATATTATAGGGTTTTTAGAAAATTTTGGTGGATTTTATTGGGGGCCTATGAGTTATGACCCCTACCCCTACCCCTACCAGGAAGTTTTAAATCCGCCCCTGGTCATTCAATAAAGGTGACAAAATAGATAACAAGTCAAATTGAAATTGGGTGAAATTTATGTACTTAGAATGGGTTAATTGACAATTTTGTCCAATTCTTTTGTTTTTATTAGTGATTTATCAACTGGGATAACGATTTTTATATAATAATATAACTTTTTTAGTAAACCAATTGTAAATGTTTGAATATAAAGTAGTGTATGATTCTTTCCATTAATGTGGTCGATTTTGTTAACCAAATTTGAAGGAATTGGTCAACTAAAACGAACCAAACGCTACCTTATACTTACTGAAATTTGAAGGAATTGAAATTTGGTCAGTGGATGTAATTGGAAAGAATTAGAATGGTTAATTACATCGACCAAATTTCATCTATGTGTTTGGTTTATTCTTTAAATTTTGGTAAGTAATCCGAATCCTGCATATGGTGGAATGTAAATTTCTTATGTTCTAGCAAGGAATTCCAACCCCTTCATCCCATTTTTAAGAAAAATTAATATGCTCTTATATTTACTCAATTTAATTCAATCCCTCCTTGATGGTTGTCACTGCCACCACCGCCACCGTTGCCACTATTGGTGTCGCCAATGACACAACCACCATCGGAACCACTGTCGCATCCACCTCATACCATTATTGTATTCCAATTTTTGTCTACCAAACGTTTGATTTTCTTGATTGGTCAATTTTTGTAAGTATCTTTCAATTGTATCAATTTGATACGAAATATGTAATTAAATCAATCAATTTTTAGATAAACAATTTGAAATTTCCACCATTATTTACATAATAATATCAGGGGCTTATTTGATATAATTCCATAATGCAGGGGTCCAGATGCAATTATAAGGATATCCGCTTTAACTTCCCATCCGACTTTGAAATGACTTTTGCGGCCAACCGGTCTCTCTGTCGAGGGCTCAATTCAACCACAGATTTGCTCCACGTAAAACCCTAACTCCTTTATTTCGTTTCGTTTTCTGTTAATTGTAATCTTTCCTTCGAGTTTATGTTATTACATGAATGCTCAATAATTCTTCCATGGTTTGATAATCCTTCCTTTTATTTACTGCTCCGTCAAACTTGCAACGATTCCCATTTTGGGATGTGCAAATTTTGCAGAGCTTCAAGTTGAAATGGCCAAATGTTCGTTGTAATCATCACAAATGGTTGATTTTGGTGAAACTGGGATCGCTCTACTTTGTGCTAATTGGTGGTTATTGAATGATATTTTAGCCACTTTTATGGGGTGGGAGGAGTAGTATTTTTTTTATTATCTTGTTACTAAATGAATGAGGTTTGCGAAAGTGATTACCTTTTACTTGCCTAGGAGTGGAATTAAATTTTAGCAAAAGTTAATCTACTTGATGAATTATACTAACCAATAAATGTTGATCATATAAAAAGTTTCAAGGATATTATAGTTAAATGAGTCTTTTTGCATTAGGAGGTGATACCTAATAAGCTTGTTCTTGCTGATGTTCTTTCATTCCTCTGGCACTAGAAGCATTTTTTACTTTTGAGGTTATACATAAAAGGCTAGTACTTGATCAATTTAAAACCGACATAGATTGCCGAATAGTTGTGGCATGAAAGATGATTTATTTAAAGCGGTTACTCTGTATGGATGCTAAAACTTATTGAAAAACTAAACGATGATTATTAATTTTGAGGTCGAGAATTATCATGTTTGATTTTGACCTATAGGGAACTGATTTCTTTTCTGGAATAGAGGGAATAATTGATGGTATTACTTCAAAGTAAATAGGTTTAAGAAGTTACAAACCCCATCCGTTCTTGTTTCACAGTGAGAATTAAAGTAAACTTATCCGCAAATAGGCTTTCTGCCCCATTTACCATCCATTTTTCATTTATAGTATCAAGTGTTTTTCACGCCTACTAGTCCTGGTTGGAATGAACCCTGGGTGGGATCATTCTTGAGCTCTGATACTACCGAGATTTAGATCCCAATTGGCATGATGTACTAACCCTACCTCTTCAACATACAGCTACTGATCAAGTGAAATCTAGCCCAGATTGGTACTTTGCAGTAAGTGAGTTTGTGAAAGGAAACTGTCAATTGGTCACCAGTCTTTTGGAGTGTTTTTTCTGAAGTAAATTGATGAGTGGTCATGTCTGCTAAAATCAGCTGGGTGCATGATGTGTTGATTTGTTACTTACTAATTGAATGCATCCTGGCTTGAATTGGTCACATGACATGTTTGGCAGTGTACTAAGCTGAGTTTCTGGGTTTCTGTTAGTCATTCATGTTTTATTATATTTATCTTCTTGTTCATAAAATAAAAAGAATAAAGCTGCACAATGCATATCTTCCTGTAAAAAGGAACTAGATAAAGCAAGTTATATTACCTCTAAGGTGAATTATTGTGATTTGTGGAATGGTTAGAGGAGGAAAAATACTATATAAACTTCAACATGGTATTCCATAGTCTATTTTCTTACAATCTCAACTCTACCTTTTATATAGGAAATTTAGCATAGAAGTACTTGTTTGTTCTAGGATGCTGATTCTGAGAATTCAGCAACAAGCCAAACTATTGGTATTTATTTGCTCATAATGGTAGAAATTGGAGACATGGAATTAGATTTATGCAGCACTTGTGTATAGGTTTAGACACTGTTGTTGCTATTAGGAAATCCTTCTTAATGTTAGCTTCATCCAATTGATAGGTTCATGAAAGTGCTGCTACCATCTAAATAGAGGGATGATGAAGTCTGCTGGACATGCTTTGCTTTCTTCTTTTACACCTCCTTATTGTTTTGCCCAAAAAAACTATCGCAGATTGCCTTCAAATTTAGTTTGTGGAATTTCAACTACTAAATCAAGGAAATTATACTCATACCATCAGAAGCACCAGCCACATTCTGCGATGGTTGTGGAACAATATCTACCTCCTTGGTTCAGGTAAATATTTATGAGGGGTTGTATGGAAGAAGTTCATTTTGTTTCTTTCCTTAGTGGCCTTCATTGGTTTTGTCACTTGTTCGCAGTGTTGCCCCAATGATGGAGTGGACAGACAATCATTATAGGACGGTGGCGCGCCTTATATCAAAACATGCATGGCTCTATACAGAAATGCTTGCTGCAGAAACAATTGTTTACCAGGAGAAGAATTTGGTAAGCAAGCGATTCATTTGGATGTTCAAGTTTTCTGTGAGACTTGAGTAGAAAAATGAAGGGATGAATGTTTTTTAGAAAGAAATATCTAGTACATGAGCAAATACTGCAAATGAAGATATATATGGAAAAGGGAAAATTGCATCAAAATGGAACCAATTATTCCTATTTTGGGGGACAAACTTTTAAAACCTTCATTTTAGGGTGTGAGACAAACTTTTTCAATTTATTTAAGGGACTCGTATACCTGTTCAGCAGGTAACCTCTATTTAGCTCAAATGATGTGTCAAAAGATAAAAGGAAAAATTAAAACTTAAATGAATATTCTTACAATTTTTAATGAAAAAAATATTTCCAGAACAAAAGAAAAGGTTAAACAAAAAGCCCAGCCCACCCCGCCGTCTACATATCTTCAACCCCTTTCCGATGGCTGTTTGCATACACCTACCCCAACTTCGACGACTGTAAATCACCCCATTAATCTCCGGCAACAACCTCTCTTCTACGCCTCTCTCAAGTCTCCACCCATCTCCATCAAGATCTGCTACCAACTCTCTCCACACCACCTCTACCCATCTCAATGTATATTGAGAGCAACAACCAACTGGTCTTTGATGGAGGGAGGCAGAGGGTCACCATCAGAAAAAAACCAACTCTCTCAACACCACCTCTACCCATTTCTTATTTACCCACGCATTGAACAGAAAAACCAACTCGTAGTTGATGGGGGAGGCAGAGGGTCCTCATCAAATAAAAAAAAGGAGGGTGAGGGTAGTCGGCGGAGAGGTGTAGTCGCGGTAGGAAGTCGGGAGTTGGGGAGCTGGAGGGTGGGAATGCATATTAATTTATGTTTTAGAAATTAATGACATGTAATTTTAATTTATATTAAAAAAATGACACGTCATCTTTTACCTGTTCCACATCATCTTTTGTAGGTTATCAGGCAAACGAGTCCTTAAATAAATGAAAAGTTTGTCTCAAACCCTAAAATAATGTTTTGAAGTTGGTTCCCTAAAATAGGAAAGGGAAAAGTTGGTTCCATTTTAATGCAGATGATGATTATATTTACACAAGAACATATATAAGTGTGTGGGTGGGTGTGTAAATATATGCATGTGCGTGTGGGTATACGTGTGTGTGTATCACACACACACATATAAGTACATGTGTGTTTATGTATGATGTTAACAACCTTTAATATACTGATGTCAGGATAAGCCTAACAAGAGAAGTCTCCTACCTATAATTTAGTTTATATTTAACTTGGGCACCTTTTTATCCTCATGCTAGCTGGAACGGCTGTATTTAGATGAACTACTCTTGGTGTTTCTGATGCTTAGTCTTTGCAGACTCTGACTCATGTTCTTCTTGATTGCTCAGGACAGATTTCTAGCTTTTTCTCCAGACCAGCATCCTATAGTACTCCAAATTGGTGGAAGTAACTTGGAAAATCTGGCAAAAGCAACCCGACTAGCAAACAGATATGGTTATGATGAGATTAACTTAAAGTGCGTTCTAATTCATTAGATATCTCTTACAAGTTGCCTTCCTCATCCATTTATGTGCTAAAATTTCTTCTTCTGCCAGTTGTGGATGTCCTAGCCCAAAGGTAGCTGGACATGGGTGTTTTGGTGTGAGTCTTATGCTTGATCCAAAGGTTTGGCCTGCTTTTTTAGCTACATGCTTCTTCAACCATTGTAGAACATATGTTTGTCTGTCTATGCATTATTTTGATAGGTTGATTTTTGCAAGGAAGTTTGTTGCCGAGGCAATGTCTGTTATTGCTGCTAACACTGATGCTCCAGTTAGTGTTAAATGTCGTATTGGTGTTGATGATCATGATTCGTACAATGAACTATGTAAGTTATTTTTCCTTCTTCCTTCCACTGGTTTGTTCATATTTTTTGATGGAGGAAACAGATTGATATACTTCATATTGAACTATATTGGCTTGGCTTGGCTTGGATTGGAATAAACGTCTTGGTATCTTAGAGATGTTGTGGTAAAACCAAATTTTTAAGTTTTTACTTGCAAGTGCTTATTAGTTGCTTTTCCTTGCTATTTGCTAAACAACGTTCTTCTTTTTATCACCTAGAGGGTGCACAAGTTGTTGGATTAAGTATCGTAAGGATCAGTTCATTTTCCCACCTAATGCTTTTACATACTATTTTATTAGATGTTTTTGAGAACTAGAAAAAAATTTTCTGTTCTTTTTTAGCCCCTTCAATTCTTTACTTCTGTAGTAAATCCCAACTTTGTTTTGCGATGCATTCAAATTGTTAGGATTTATATATCAAATACGTTTATCAAATTGAGTGGGCAAGTGGCGATGAAGAGGTCGTGGGCAGAGGAAGAAAGGTCTTCCTGGAAAATTCGTTCCAATTAAACTGATCACAACAGAAACATTTATTTCAATTGTGTTTATCCGTGCCCATACATCAGTCTGAAGATAGCTACTGCTAAAAGAACAAGAATAAGCATCCGGCTTTTAGTTATTATACTTAGAGTGCAGTTGTCACATTTGTTCTTCAAATATTCTTTTGGTTGATTAAGATGAAGCTTCTAATGCATAGGCTTATTCAAGCAAAAGAATTGGTGCTTTTAAGGCGGTCTATGTGTCTCACAGAGACAAGGGAGGGGTCTGATGTATTTTGTACTAAAAAAATGTTGAATAGAAGGTTATGAATTGGTCCATTGTATATAAGCTGCTTTGAAGCAGAAAACTTAATGCGTCAGATTAGCATCGTATAGCATTCAGAGTCAACTGTATCTTTTATCCTCAAATGATGGTTAACTGGGATCCAGGGACGGACCCACTGTATTAGATATGGTGGCACGGGCCACTGCTTCGTTCCTCCGTCATAATGTAAAAAATTATAGGGTCGTGAAAAGTGCCACCATATGAATTTGTTGTGTGCCACCGTATGTATTTTGAAACTACAATGAGAACAAAAAAATTTCTTGGTAGAGTTGGTTTGCAAGGTTTTTCTTCTACCTCAGACCCGAGTTCGAATCTTGTTAGTTTCATTTTCTTAGTTTTTAGCTTTCAATTTCAGATTCATTATGTTTCTAAAAAAAATTTGCAATAAAAAACTTGAATCCGGGACCTCATTGATGAAAAGCAATGAACTAACCAACCGACTATTGATGATTTTGTGAAAAATATACATATATTTGTTTATAGTCAATTGGTGCCACAATTTGAAAATTTTCTAGGTCCATCTCTGCTGGGATCTCCATTTGTCTAGCATAGAAATTACGTTTTTGGTAATATATAGTTATATACTCTTTCCGTCCCAAAATAAATGTCTACAATGACAAAGACACCCAATGTTCGAAATGTGTAATTATTACACTTTTTAATTAACTAAATATCAATTTTATTCTTAATAATAAAGGAGTAATGAATTTCTCCACCTCGAGATTAAAAGTAAAATTGGCAAGTAGGCACTTACTTTTGAAATTGAACCCTTATTTTGGGACAAGCTAAATTAGAAATGTAGGCACTTGTATTGGGACAGACGGACTGCATTGTATGTGGCAGCTTAGGTTTTCGTAGGACCTTGTACATGTACTTTTGCAACTGTCCTGATCTTTTTGCTTTTTGTTTGCAGGTGATTTCATATATAAAGTTTCTTCTCAATCTCCAACTAGGCATTTCGTAATACATTCCAGAAAGGCCTTGCTGAATGGAATTAGCCCTGCTGATAATCGGAAAATTCCTCCCTTGAAGTATGTAACTAGTTGTACTTGGTCATTATTCAGTCATCAGATAATCTCAAATCTGCTCATTTTTTCCATAATTGTGAAATGTAAAAGAAGTGAAGTTGACAGTCCCTTGCGCAAGTGACACCTTTACGTTCATTTTTATGATATCCTTGTCATACTTTTTTTGGTTGTATATTATGCAGATACGAGTACTTCTATGCTCTTCTTCGTGATTTTCCAGACCTCCGCTTCACCATTAATGGAGGCATAACTAGCATTGATGAGGTAAGTATTCATTGACTTCATCTTTCCCTTCTTACTTCTCCCTAGTGTCTCTCGTGCTGGCCTCAGTGTTCTTTTCTCATATTGAACTTTGTATTATTTTAGCAAGAAGAATATTTATATACTTTACATGCCCCCCTATTGCTCAGGGAAAACCGAATTGTATTAAAGATTATTAAAGAATTACAGCAAGCAGTATGATACTCAAAGTGCTGAGCATAGCTTTTCCAAAAATTCTGTTGGTAAAATGGTAACTGTCGCATTCCATAATCCGTATCTTACGTATACTTTTTGATATTCAATACTAGATCCGTGCAGCACAAGAAGAAGGAGCTCATGGGGTTATGGTTGGTCGTGCTGCCTATCACAAGTATGAACATTTAGCTTCTGGTATTCTTTAACTGATAGTTTTGACGTTGTATTCTTGCTTCACTGCTACATAATGATATAAACTATAGATTTACGTATTCCTGTTCTCATAACAGCACTTCTGCTAGCTGTCAAGACCTGACCGTTGAATTTTATTCTGCTTTTTTATACATGCTGTTAGTCAAGTTTGACCAAAGGTGTGTACAATTTTTGAACAGTTCGTGGTCCATGTTAGGGAACGTTGATACTGCGATTTATGGTGCACCACCTAGCGGGGTGACTTGTCGTCAGGTTTGTGACAGTATTGTTTTTCAATATATAAAATCCGGGTTTCATAGGTATCTAAAGCCTCTAAATTTGTTTCCAATAACTTTTTGTAGGTCTTGGAGAAGTATCAGGTCTATGCTGATTCAGTCGTAGGAATATATGGAAATGGTAAACCAGGTCTCCGGGATTTGGTTAAGGTACAAGTATTATTTGTTATCTGGTTAAGCGAAAAGTTTCTTAATTTGCAACTTCTAGGAGCAGCTAATCCAATAAGGGAAAAACTCAAAAACATAAAATAAAACAACAAACAAGGGGGTGGCTGTTGTTGCATAGGCTCGTCCTTGCATTATTTTCTGGAAATAATTTAAATGACGATAAAGCATGCATGTTGCTTTTGTGTTTCGTTTGTTACTAATATTCAGCTAACTAGAGGACATTGTTTAGAAATTACGTTCTAAACAATGTCATATTTCCAAACATGATTTATGAATGGGGGGACATTTAGCTATTTAAAAATAAGTTCCACATAGGAGCGTGACCTTTATTTTAAATCTCAGTAATCTTCAAAGGTGTCACCGTAAAAATCTGGAAAACACTAGAAGGTTAGTTTGTGAAAGTGACTTCTATAGAAGGTCATTTAACGAAATAGCCCTTTAATGTTGATCTAAAATCGTGGTTTGCATTCCTAGGGGTAAAATGGGAATGGTGCTCTTTAATTGTCCGAACTTGATAATAGATCTTTTTATGGGAACATACTAAAAAGCACTCGATGTAAGTTCAACTTAGTTATTTTTATAGCAGAAGTACTATTATAATACGAGTTTGTCATTTTCATATTGGTCTTTCTCTATGCTGCAGCCTTTATATGGTCTCTTTTGGGGGGAGCCTGGAAACGGCGTGTGGAAGCGCAAAGCTGATTCTGCTTTCCATCATTGCAAGGTAAGCATATTTTAGTAAATAAGTTTAACTAATGAGTTCACGTTTAACACTTTCCCAATCCAGGGAGTTTTCATGAAAACAGCCGCTCTACTCTTTGGGGTCGATGGTAGGTCCACCCCCAAAGAATCCACCTCTGAGTGGGATATATTGGGCTCACTTGGTTTGGTTTGGATGAGTTCACGTGTGCTATTGGACTTGTGAAAATTTTATAATCTTAAAAGACCTGTTATTGTACGTAACAGGTTATGAATATGATTCATGTTATAATGGTTATATGAATACACGTATTATTGAGGGTAACTGTAAATAAGTCCTAAAAGTATATACTATGGGTTAAAAAGGCCAAACTGCATCGTAATGTAACAAAGTTCGTCTTGTTTGTTTACCTCTTAATAGTTCCATTAAGAGGCAGTATCTGAATATTTAAGAGGTAAATCTTGTTTGGCAAAAAAAAGTCCATCTGAATGATTTTGTATCATGTGCCTCCCTTAACCATTCAGCGCCCTAATTTCATTGTAAATAATTATCAAACAATTATATTTCATTTTGCACTATATCATGAAAGCCTCTTAATCATCCTGACCACTTAATCATTCTGCACCAAATCATTCGGCAACTGTCAAACACTATCTAGTATATCAATATCATTTTTGTTCAAATCTTTCTATTTCATACCCATTTTTGACAGGTTGTCAAGTTATTTTTGATTATATGGAAAAATTTAATATCAAAGTCAACCAATGCAATGCAGGCTGAAACCCGTTTATTAGGAAAAATGGGTATGGAATAGGAAGAATTGGATGTTTGTTACACTAATAAAGAAATAAAATCATCGTTGTACTAAATAGGATCTAAGCTAAACTTGGTTACGTTTTGATGCATTTTGTTCGTTAGAGAACTCATATATCCCAACTTCTACCTGGTAGTAGTAAGTATGGACAAATAGGTAAATTTACCTTGAAACTTTGCTAAAAAAGGAAATGTTGCAATTAGCATAACATGTCCCAAAATGTAAATTCTTCCATTTTCTTTGAGATGGAGGAGGATTGATTCATTAGTTTGAGAAACCCCCCATCAGATATAATTATAATGTGGTTCACTATCTTTGTAGACGTTCAAAGCTCTGATGGAGGAGACGATAATGGCATTTCCTGATTCAGTTCTGGATTCGGCTGTTGTCGATACATCATCTACTACTCGTGTAGATAAGTTTGCTGATTCGAAGAATCTGCTACCGTTGCCTTATACAGTTAAGGAAGAAGAAGAAGAAGAATTGTTGTATGCTTAGTTTGATGAGAGGTTACGAAATTTTGATGGATAAAATAGTAGCATACTTAACCTCATATTTGTAATTGTATTTGTACCCTAGTTGACATTCTTTGGGGAAATAGATCCCACATAACTATAAGTTCAAGAAGATTGACCAAAATGAAATGTTAACCATGGATATCGCCTTATTTGTTGCATGATTGTATTGTAGAGTCAAGACTTGCACTTGTGATGAAGGTAAGGTTGCAACTTTCTACTGTAGTTTGTGTGTGGTAGACACATATATATACCTATATATATATACCGACTTATGTTCATTGATCAACTTTATAAGTTAATGGTCTAAAGTTGCACGATGGCAATTTTGTGGTTATTAAGAAATCTCGTGGCGTTTATGAATGTTTAAATTGTCAGATTGTAGATATAATCCAAAGGTTGAGAATTGGTTTTACAGGTCTCACGAAAAACCTTGGTTAATTTCACATGATCCCAAGTCACACCATGTATATACACACACATATATATATATATATATATGCACATATATACACACATATATACATATACATATACATATACATATACATATACATATACATACATACATACATACATATACATACATACATACATATACACAGATATATACATATACACACACACACATACACACACACACATATATATATATATATATATATATATAGAGGGTGGTTCAAATACTAACCCAATATTTTGTGCAAACTTTGCTAACCCACATCAACCAATAATGTTGCATCTTTGGGTTTGGTTAAAATGTAACTTACATATTAATGATAAGGGTATTTAAGTCATTAGTCATTCTTATGTAACTC